TTCTTAAAACATTCGATTCTTAGTTACCATCTCCTGGTGGCCATTTCTATATCCCTTTCCTAGTGTAAATACTTCATTCCAATCTTCTGTCATTTGGTTCACATGGTTATCTTTATTTCAGATACCCTTCATCCTGCCTACCAGGACAGTGACTTACCTCTCAAGACATAAAATGAATTCTACCTTCTCTCTAAGGCCTATGTATTCACCCTCCCACGCATGTGTGCAGAATAAAGACATGTGCAGTACAAAGCTACAGTACCCATATGGAGGTCAGAGGTCAACTTTGGTGTCACTTCTCTCCTCTGACCTTGTTTGAATCAGACTCATTCTTGTTCACTCTGGACACCCCACTTCTGGCCTTGTTTGAGGCAATCACTCTTGTCACTGTAGCTGGTTTGCAAGCTTTGAGAATTCTCCCACATCAGCCTGTAATCTGGCCTAGAAGTGCTGAGATTGTACACATATAGTACTACGTACAGCTTTGCATAGGCTCTGAAGATCTGAAGTTGGATTTTTATGCTTGTACAGCAGGAACCTTTTGTTTTTGTTTTTGTTTCTAAAGATTTATTTATTTATTATGTATACAGTGTTCTGTCTGCATGTGTGCCTGCAGGCCAGAAAAGGCACCAGATCTCATTACAGATTGTTGTTTTTTGTTTTTTTGTTTTTTTTGTTTTTTTTAAATTTATTTATTTATTAATGATTTCTGCCTCCTCCCTGCAACCGCTTCCCATTTCCCTCCCCCGATCAAGTCCCCCTCCCTCATCTGCTCGAAGAGCAATCAGGGTTCTCTGACCTGTGGGAAGCCCAAGGACTGCCCACCTCTATCCAGGTCTCGTAGGGTGAGCATCCAAACTGCCTAGGCTCCCACCAAGCCAGTACGTGCAGTAGGACCAAGAACCCCACTGCGATTGTTCTTGAGTTCTCAGTATTCCTCATTGTCCGCTATGTTCAGCTAGTCCGGATTTATCCCATGCTTTTTTAGACCTAGGCCAGCTGGCCTTGGTGAGTTCCCGATAGAACATCCCCATTGTCTCAGTGTGTGGGTGCACCCCTCGTGGTCCTGAGTTCCTTGCTTGTGCTCCGTCTCCTTCTGCTCCTGATTTGGACCATGAGATTTCTGTCCGGTGCTCCCATGGGGGTCTCTGTCTCTGTCTCCTTTCATCGCCTCATGAAGGTTAATATTCATGAGGATGCCTATGTGTTTGTCTTTGGATTCACCTTCTTATTTAGCTTCTCTAGGAACATGAATTATAAGCTCAATGTCCTTTATTTATGGCTAGAAACCAAATATGAGTGAGTACATCCCATGTTCCTCTTTTTGGGTCTGGCTTACCTCACTCAGGATAGTGTTTTCTATTTCCATCCATTTGAGTTTGTTTGTTTTTTGAGACAGGGTTTCTCTGTGACTTTGGAGCCTGTCCTGGAACTAGCTCTGTAGACCAGGCTGGTCTCAAACTCACAGAGATCCACCTGCCTCTGCCTCCCGAGTGCTGGGATTAAAGGCGTGTGCCACAATCACCCGGCTTTCAGATTGTTGTGAACCACCATGTGGGTGCTGGGAATTGAACTCAGGACCTCTTGAAGAGCAGCCAGTGCTCTTAACCTCTGAGCTATTTCTCCAGCCCCCTTGTTTTTGTTTTTTGTTTTGTTTTTTTTTTTTCGAAATAGTTTCTCTGTAACTTTGGATTCTGTCCTGGAACTAGCTTTGTAGACCAGGCTGGCCTTGAACTCACAGAGATCCCTTGGCCTCCCAAGTGCTGGAATGAAAGGTGTGTGTCACCACCGCCCAGCACAAGAACTTTTTTATATAAATTTATCTATCTTACTTTCCAACCACAGCTTCCCCTTCCTTTTCTCCTCCTCCTGCCCTCTGCCCCCCCCCCCAATACACCCCCTTCATAATTGCTCAGAAAGGGGCAGGCCTCCCATGGACTTCAGCAAAGCACAGGATATCAAAGCTGTCATAAGATCAAGCACCTCCCCCTGTACTCAGGCTTGGCAAGGCAATCCAGCATGAGTAGTAGGTTCCCAGGAGCCAACCAAAGCACCAGGGACAGCTCTGTTCCCATTACAGGAGTCCCACATATAGACCAAGCTACACAACTGTCACATATATGCAGAGGGTCTAGGTTGGTCCCTTGTTGTGCTTCAGACTCTGTGAGTTCCCATGAGCCAGGCTAGTGATTTCTGAGGGTTTTCCTGCAATGTTCTTTATCCCCTGGTTTCCTACAACCCTACCTTCTTCTCCTCAGCAGGACTCCCAGAACTCTGCCCAGTGTTTGGCTTTGGGTCTCTAAAGCTGCCTCCCAGTCACTGGATGAAAGCTCTCTGGTGACAACTGGTCATCAATCCTATCCCAGGGTATGGTCAGTTCAGGCTACAGCAAGAACTTTTGTACACTGAATCAAAATACCCTATGAGGTATTTTTTAAAGACACACCCATAAGCCTTCCTTAATAGTTAGGGTATATTATAATAAATAAATGCTACCCCCAAATCTTTGAGTCTTAACATTAGAAGCATTTATTTTTTAGGTCACAGCTGAATGAGAGCTAACTAGGGCAATGCCAATCAATCTCACCCCCTAAAGTTCACATGGGGTTGCAGGTTCCTAATGGCTTCACCACCTTCTTGTATTGAGATTAGCAACCTATAACCTGTTCTTGTAAATAAAGTTTTGAGATATAGCCATGGCATTCAATTATGTTTTGTCAATGAGTGCTCTAATACCACAAGGGGAAAATTGATTAGGGACTTTATGGTTCATAAAATCTTTGTCCTTTGGGCTTTTGCAAAAACACTTTTGTTGATCCTTCATCTGAGGCTTTCTGGACCTGTGAAGAGAGAATCTAGATCCTTTATTTTTTTAATGTAATTTCTTCAACTCTTTAGATATGCTTATTATCTGCTTCATAATGTTTGTATATGAAATCTAACAACTAGTCACTCTCAGGGACGTTTTCTGTAGGCTGCTTTTTTAAGTTCTTGATTTTATTTTTAAGCCTGCCTTCCTAAGATCAACTTCTGAGTTAGCAGAATTTAGTAATCATTCGATTAGAGATTAGGTTTCCTTAATTGCCTTGAACCTTTAAGTCTTCCATCTTTTATCTGAGGAAATATTTTGTGTAAAGATGTTTCTCCAACTTCAGAAGTTTATAAATCACCTTTCTTTTCATTTCCCACATTCAAAGACAGCCAGAGTTGAATAACTCTTTTCTGCACATTTATTTCCTTGAGCAGCTCATTGCGTACTTCTAGATACCTAAGAATATGTCTAGACCTTTCAAAGTGCCATATGGTTATCTGGATATCCATATCTTTCTTTCGGATTTCTAGCTGCACCCCCCCACACACACACTTTTTAAGCCCCAAATGAAATCACAGAGTTAAACAGCTGTGATGTTAGAAGCAGGTCACTGGGGTTTTCTTTAATGCCCTGGTAACAGGGCTCTTTTTCAGAGCTGAGCTGTGATTCAAATCAAATAACACCTTAGAAGTAGAGACTTGCCAGGAGCTGCCAGTTTGATCAAATATTGATCAAATTTGATCCTATGCTAAGGATAAGGTGGCACTTGGGAAACTCCAAAAGATGCACCTGCTGCCTTCTTTCTGGCTTTTCTCAGTTAGGGCAGGGACAGCCTCAAGTTAAAGCCACTCAGGCTCTGATGTTCTTACTCTGGTTCATGGGAGGATTTTGTGTATCCTTCAGCTCCCTCTCCTTTTCTACATATGCCCGGGATGGAAACTTCCTTTTGCTTCCCCTCCTTTTCTGTATGTCCTGGGGATGGATGCTTCCTTCTGCTCCTCCTCCTTTTCTGTATGTGCTGGGGATGGATGCTTCCTTCTGCTCCCCCTCCTTTTCTGTATGTGCTGGGGATGGAAGCTTCCTTCTGCTTCCCCTCCTTTTCTGTATGTGCTGGGAATGGATGCTTCCTTCTGCTTCCCCTCCTTTTCTGTATGTGCTGGGGATGGATGCTTCCTTCTGCTTCCCCTCCTTTTCTGTATGTGCTGGGGGATGGATGCTTCCTTCTGCTTCCCCTCCTTTTCTGTATGTGCTGGGGATGGAAGCTTCCTTCTGCTCCCCCTCCTTTTCTGTATGTGCTGGGGATGGAAGCTTCCTTCTGCTTCCCCTCCTTTTCTGTATGTGCTGGGGATGGATGCTTCCTTCTGCTTCCCCTCCTTTTCTGTATGTGCTGGGGATGGAAGCTTCCTTCTGCTCCCCCTCCTTTTCTGTATGTGCTGGGGATGGAAGCTTCCTTCTGCTTCCCCTCCTTTTCTGTATGTGCTGGGGATGGAAGCTTCCTTCTGCTCCCCCTCCTTTTCTGTATGTGCTGGGGATGGATGCTTCCTTCTGCTCCCCCTCCTTTTCTGTATGTGCTGGGGATGGAAGCTTCCTTCTGCTTCCCCTCCTTTTCTGTATGTGCTGGGGATGGAACACCAGCTGTTTAAGCTTGCTGGAGAGTCACACTTCCACTGAGTGTATCTTCATCCTGCATTAGTTTTCCTTGATTAAATTCTTTAAAGTCATTCTTTGCCTTTGGTTAGCTTGTGGTGTTCTAAAATGATTTGTGGTTGACAGTATTTTGTTGCTTTTGTTGAGGAATGGACTCACTGAGATTCTGACAGCCTTAATTTTGGCAAGAAAATAATGCTTCTGAGACATTTCCTTAATATTTAATATATCCGTAGATTGTGGCTTATGAATACCAGACAGAACATTAACACATTTTTCTTTCCTTTTTTGTTTTTTGGGGTTTTTTTGTTTTTTGTTTTGTTTTTGTTTTTCAAGACAGGGTTTCTCTATGTAGCAGCTGTGATTAGCCTGAGACTTGCTTTGTAGACCAGGCTGGCCTCAAACTCACCGAGATCTGCCTGCTTCTGCTTCCCAATTGCTGAGATTAAAGTGTGTGCCACCACTGCCCGGCAACACATTTTTCTTAATGAAACCTGTGAACATCCACTGAGGGCAATCACATTTTGACTTTCCTTTCCAGGTTGCTGTTAGCTCTGACTCTACAGGCCCAGCTGATAATTTTGAGGAGCAACCTTTGACCTGCCAAAAAGAATGCAGCAAAACAGTGAACACTGAAGCTTTAATGACAGTGTTTCACCCTCAAAATTTGGAGAATCTGGATTCTAAAATGGTAAGGAAACAAAATAATTAAATCTATGGATTGGAACAGTCAATGAAAAAAATCTTAGAACATACTAGATCAGTGGGTCCTCAACCTTCCTAATGTTGTGACCCTTTAATACAGTCATTCATGTTGTGATGACCCACAACCATCAAATTGTTTTGTTGATACTTCATAAATGTAATTCTGCCTCTGTTATAAGTCAGAATGTAAATATCTGTGTTTTTTGGTGGTTTTAGGTGACCCCTGTGAAAGAGTCATTCGACCTCTAACCCCTAAGAGGGTTGTGACCAATAGGTTGAGAACCACTATACTGGATGGTATCAGAACAGAAAGATTTACTTTTGAGGCTTGAAGTATGTCTAGTTGGGCTCAACGACACTCAGACCATTATCAATAGTGATAATAGTGGTTATTGAGTCTTAGTCGCTTAGATTTCTAATAATTTGTGATAAAACCAAGTTGATTTGGAAAAAACGGTAGTTTGGAGCTTTTGCCTCCTAGGTGTTAGACTTTTGCAATTTTTAGAAGTTTAACTAGTAATGATAGTAAATTAAAACTGTTAGGTGTTGGTAGAGGCCGCTTGTTCATTTCCAGGCTGACCAGACTCCTGAAATAACCACACAGAAATCTGTATTAATTAAAACACTGCTTGGCCAATAGCTTAAGCACATTGCTAGCTAGCTCTTATATCTTAAACTAACCCATTTCTATTATTCTGTGCAACACCACAAGGTCGTGGCGTACTGGCAAAGTTTCAGCTGGCAGCTTGCTACTTTCTCTGGGGGCAGCTACATGGCTTCTCCCTGACTCCGCCTACTCTCTCTATATATCTGTTTCATCCTGGCTTTACTCTGTTAAGCCATTGGCTGAAAGCAGCTTCTTTATTAACCAATGGCAATAAAACATATTCATAGCATATTTCACCTCTTACATCAGTTAAGTTTGTGTGGGTTTAAGTTTTTATGTTAAAGGTCTAGTATTTTACAATGTGAATATGATTTTTTATTTTGTAAGGTTTTGGTCTGCATAAATGATTTCATGGTAAATAGGATGAGCAAATTATTTTAAAGGGATTAATTTTTCACTCTTTACTTTGATTTTTTCTATCACAGTTGAAAGAAAAGATGAAGGAACAATCTTGGAACATCTTATTTTCTGAATGTGGGCGTGGTGTTAGCATGTTCCGGACAAAGAAAACCCGAGATCTAGTTGTAAGAGGGATTCCAGAGACATTGCGGGGAGAGCTCTGGATGCTTTTCTCAGGTATTACATTATTTGCTTTATTCATTTAACAGGCAGACGTTAAGTATGCCGCTTCTAGTCGTTATGTTCTATGCACAAAGATGGCCAGGATATAAGTTGAGACTAGTCAAAAAGGGAAAAAAACTATATTTATATGTACTTGCCTAAATATCTACATATCTACTGTCTGACAAGATTAATTTAGTAGGCAAGATGTGTATAATTGGTGGATATAGTGTTCATATCTATACCAATAAGAGAAAATTAAAAGAAAAAACTTAATTAAAATGTTATTCTCTGATAAATAATAACTTGGTGTAGACTCGTGTTATGTTTCCCTTTTTCTTCATTTTCTTTGTTTTTGTGTATTCGGATATTATTAGAGCATAAACCTAAACCTTAAGGTAATAAAATACAAATGTGTCACTATCTGCAGATCTCAGCTGTGTTTTATTGTTCAGTTTGAATGTGGATGTTATTGTCCTTGCAGGTGCTGTTAATGACATGGCTACTAATCCTGGTTATTAGGCTGAAGTAGTTGAACAATCCTTAGGGACCTGCAACCTGGCTACTGAAGAAATTGAACGTGATTTACGCCGCTCTCTGCCTGAGCACCCAGCCTTTCAGAGTGATACTGGCATATCTGCTCTGAGGCGGGTACTGACAGCTTATGCATATAGGAATCCTAAAATAGGATACTGCCAGGTATAACTTCACTGTGATCTCAAATATTATGTGCATATTTCAAATGTTATTATCAAATTCAACTCTCGAATTTTGGGACATATGATAATGAGAGCTGAGATTGATAGCGGATATTATTAAAATAAGTAGGTTGATAGTGGGAGCATTTTTAACTACTGATATATTTACTATTTTCTTTTTTAATATTTGTTTTTATTTATCCATATGTGTGTATCTCTGTGTGGATATTTGCCACATGGAGGTCAGAATAGGGCACTGGATGTCCTGGAATTGGAGCTACAGACAGCTGTAAGCTGCCCAACATGGGCACTGAAAACTGAACTCAGGTCCTCTAAAGAGCACCAAGAGTTTCTAACCACTTTCTTTTCGTTTAACAACTGGATTATTGTTCTGTAAAAGACACTGTGTCACATATTTAAGGCTATATAAAGATATATCATATAAAGATCATATCAGCAAAAATATATGGATCAGGTCTGAGGAAGTAAAGCTAAGTGGGTAACATGCTTGTAGTACAAACAGGAGAGCCTGAGTCTGAATCTCTAGCATCAATGTAAGAAAATCCAGGTATGGCAGAGTGCATCTGCAAGTCTAGTGCTGGGGAGAGGTGGATCCTGAGGGCTTGCTATCCAGCCAGTCTAGCTGATACAGCAAGCTTTGGGTTCAGTGAATAAACCATGTCTCAAAAATAAACAAACAAACAAATAGATAAATAAATAAATAAAATGGAATAATAATTGAGGAAGTACTCACAACATCGATCTTTGGCCTTCACATGTGCCTGCAACAGAAGAGCACACCCATACGCATGTGTCCATATGCATATGCAGACAATAGGTAGTTAAATGAATATTCATTGGGAAATTGAAAATCCAAAGAGACAAACTATTAGATGAATACTAAGTATGGTCAGGATTTATAATAAATTATTTTCACCTGGGAGGATCAGGGAAGGCTTCATGGAAGAGGTAGCATTTGCAGGTCTTGGCAGTTTATGAATCTGGGACATATAGAAATGGAATTAGAGAACTTTCTAAGTGGAAGGATTGGTGCAGCCCAATACAAATAGAGGGAAATAAAGAATATGCATAGGGCCAGGTACTCATGTACTATTTAATAAAGGAGAAGATGAATAATGCAATAATTTATTTGAAGAAAGCACTGGGTAGTTTGGGGTTGGTCAGGGGTGTGAATTTTATTTTCGAGGCAATGGGGGAGTCCTTGGTAAAAATCCTTTAGGGGTACACTGTGTTAACTGGGTAGTTGCCTGCTACTAAACACAAGCAGATAATAGCTGAAGTATTACAGACTATTATTTATTAGATGAGGAAAAACAATCATTTAAGTCAGTAGACAGTTCTCTTTTGTGGGATTATTAAGGGACTTAGGCTATGGGTTGAAAATATACTGTCATCTTAGAAGTAAAACTAAGATTTTGATAGCCATTACATGGACTCTGCAGATCAACTTGGGGAATATTGCATAGTAACAATATTAAATTTCTCAAACTATAAACACAGGTTGTTTCCTTCTTTATTTAGTAGATCTCTAGTTTCTTCTTCTTTTAAGATATTAGATAGCTTTCAATGTAAATTCTTTCTTTTTGGCTTTTTTGAGACAGGGTTTCTCTATGTAGCAGTTCTGGCTGTCCTGGAACTAGCTCTATAGAACAGGCTGGCCTCAAACTCACAGAGATTCACCTGCCTCTGCCTCCCAAGTCAATGTAAAATCTTAAAACTTCTTTTGATGATAATTTTGTTTCTCAGTATTTTAATCCTTTTGAGATTATAGTAAATGCATTTTTATCTCTTTTTATTAGTTCTTGCTAGCATATTAAAATACAAATTCATCTTTCTATATACTAATCTTGTCTTCTTTAGCCTTGCTCAGCTTATGTTGGTTTCAGAAGACCATTTGTAGATTTCTTTCAAGTTTCAATATATGTGTCTTGGGGTTTCTATAGCTGTAAAGAGACACCATAACTACAGCAACTCTTAAAAAAGGAACATACTTAATTGGGGTGGCTTACATTTTCAGAGGTTCAATCCATTATCACCATGGCAGGAAATGGCGGCATGTAGGCAGAAATGAAGCTTATCACATCTTCATCAGAAGGCGACAGGAAGTGGTCTAAGACACTGGGTGGTATCTTGGGCATGTGTAAGACCTCAACTCTTGCCTCTACAATGACACACTTCCTCCAACAAGACCACACTTCCTCCAACAAGGTCCCAACTTCTAATAGGCCACTGCCTTTGGGGCCATTTTCTTTTAGCCCACCATATTAAGAAATCATGGAATCTGAATAGTGACATTTTTCTTGATTCCAATCTGAATACTGTTCTTCCTTTTTTCTTGCCTAAATGGATATATACCTTCGATATAATGCTAAATGGAATTGTTAATATTATTATTTAACTTTGTTGAGCTGGCATCTCATTATTTTCCTGGCTTGTCTCGTTCTCCTGGGCTTCAGTGATCCTCTCACTCCATCCTCTTGAGCAGCGGGGATTACAAGTGTACCCCAGCACATGTGATTTGTTATTTATCTTAGGGAGAGCCACCCTTTTGTCATAAAGTATACAGTGAACTGTGGAGGGTTTGTGTAGATTATCAGGTTGAAGAATTTCCTTTCTATTTCTAGCTTCTGAGAAGGAGTATAGATGTGAGTGCAGTGAAACCCACCTGCAATCCTAACACTTAGGGGCTAGGGTAGGGCTGTCTTGAATACAAGTCTAGCCTGGGCTGCATACTGAGACTCTGTCTCAGAAAATCAAAGCAGGAAAAGGAGTATTGGATTTTTAATATTTTGATATTATAATTTAATTGCAATTTCTCCCTTCTCTTTCCCCTCTCTAAAACTACTCTCTCATACCCCTCCACTCTCCTTCAAATTCATGACCTCTGTTGTCACTACTTGTTATTGCATGTATATATGTATATGCATATATTTTCCTAAATATAATCAATTCAGTCCATATAATTTACTCATATGCATGTTTTCAGGACTGACCATTGGTACTGGATAACCACTGATATCTCCTCCCTGGGGAGGACCACCTCTCCTATTCCCAATTTCCTCACTTGCCAGTAGTTCTTTGTGTAAGGCTGAGGCCTCATGAAATTTTGTCAGATATTTTTTCTTTGTGTGCACTGACATTATTATATGATTTTTATTAAAATGAAATATTTCATTAATTGGTTTTCATATTTTGCACTCCATTTGCATTTCCAGGATAAATACCAGTTGCTCTTAGTATTTATTTTTGCATGCTCTCTAGTTTGGTTTCTTATTGTTTGGGGGGGATTTTACATTCATATTTAAAAAATACATTACTGTATAGTTGTCTCATAACACCTTTCTCTAATTTTGGTGTCAGGATTTTTTTAGAATGAGTTGGATAATGATTCTTGCTCTTAGATTTTACATGGTTTGTGAAGGACTGGTATTACTTCTTTAAATATTTAGTAGAATGTCCCAATAAAGCCATCTGTTCTTCATTATCTTTGTAAAAAGTGTTTCCATTAATATTTTAATCTCTTATTGTATATCCATTCTGATTTTTCCTTCCTCTAGAACTGGTTTTAGTAGGTGGCATTTTTTCAAAAACAATTGTCCATCTTATCGAATTTGTTAACATATGGTTGTTTGCAATGTACCTCTTTTCAGGTGGCAATAATTGTTGTTCACTCTCTCTTTTTTATCTTTTTAGTTAGGGTACCTAAATGTACATAATTTTAGATAATTTTTTAATATTTTGGTGATCCTAACTTATTTGTTAAAATTTCTTTTTAATATGTGTTTTCATTAATCTTTCGAGAAATTTGTACAACATGTCTTAATCATTTTGACCCCCCTGCCCCAACTCTTCCCAGATTCACCCTCTTTCCCTTCCTACCCAACTTTGTATTCTATTTTCTTCCCCTGCCCCATCAAGGCCAATTTGTGCTGCTTAAATATTCTTGGATGTGTGGCCTCCCACTGCAGCATGGTAGGCATATCAAGGGATGCATTCATAGAGAAAATTGACCCTTCCTCTCCAAGCAGCTAAGAATTACCCATAGCCACTCAAAGAGGGTTGGAATTTTGTGGAACTTTATGCCCAACTACCCTATATGCGCTAGGATTTGGGCTGCCTTAAGCTTGATTATGTCTTGTACATCCTATCACAACCACTGTGAGTACATATTTGCAGATGCCCTGCTGTATCCAGAAGACACTGTTTCCGTGTAGTTGTTCATCACCTCTGCCTCTTACCCTTGTTCCGTATCCTCTTCTGCAATGATGCCTGAGCTTTTGGAGGAGGTGGTGCAGTATATATGCTTCCATTATGCCTTAATATTCTATAATCTCTTATTCTCTGCACTTTGGCTAATTGCAGTTCTCTGTGTTGATCATCATCTACTGCAAAGTTTCTCTGATGAGGATTAGGAGATACTTTAATGTATGGGTATGATATCATTAGGCATTGGTTTAATACCATGTTCATTTGACAGAATAATAGTAGTAGATTCTCTACTAGGATCTATGATATCTCCAGCTATAGATTCTTGACCTGATAGTGGTTTCAGGTATAGGTCTCTTTTTGTGGAATGGGCCATAAACATATGATCAGAAAGTGGGTGGTTACTCCCACAGCATTTGTTCCACTGTTGCACCAATGGGCAATGTCTTGCAGGGCCAGCCATTATTGTAGTTCACAGAGTTCACAGCTGAGTAATACTGATGATACTGAACTTTCTTTTCTTTTCATTTTCTATTCCCTACCAGTTTATGATTGCCAAAAGCCCAAAATTTAGCCAGTGATGAGCGCTTGGTCTTATTCTTTCTTAACATATGTACAGGCTGGAATATAGTTCAGTGTTACAGTGCTTGCCAAGCATATACAAAGCCCTGGCTTTCAGCCCATGTAGCTCAGAAAAAGTGTACATAAAGCTATAGATGTGTCTAAAGCAATGTGCATGAACATGGGCTTCTAGATTGCTAAAGATATGCTAGAGTTTTTCAAAGCCCCCAGATTTTCCTCAAATGTTTTTGTTAATTTCTTGTTCATCCCAGCTGTTAGCCATTGTCTCGGGCAGCCACATGCTCAATAGCCACCTCTGATTATTTTTAAGAAACACTCCAGAGAAAAGGCTTTTGTGCTAGATGAACTCTGCGTCAGGTCAAGTAAAGACAGCTTTGTAAATGTAGTCTTCCAGAGGAGTACCAGACAGATTGAATAATGACAGTACTCTACAAATGGTACTTTGAAAGAACTCCAAGCCCTTTCTCATCTGTCCAATATAAACAGGAAGTTAGGTAGCAATGCAATGGAAAAGAAAGAATATATGTAAAAATCATTTGTTAGTAGAAAATCTAGAATTTGAATCAAAATTGCATGTACCGGATAAAGAGTTTCTGCAGTGATGAGAATCAGAATATCTAAGAAAACAAAGTATTTAATAGGGAGGTGGTGTTAAATTTTGTGAATTAATGAAGTGATTGATTTGATTTGGTATCTAAGGGATAATCTCCAGGAAATAGTTATAAAGGTTGTTTTCTCCAATATTAGAATATCATCCACAATTATGTGTTTTATTTTAAAGACTCAATAATTGACATTTTAACGCATTGAAATCAGCCTAATTGGTTTTTATTTATGGTGCTTTATATCCATGATATTACTGCTTCATTTTCCTTTAATATTGCTGTATAAAATACCTGGCTAGCAAATGTTAACCTAACTATACATTGCTTTACTTTGGATTAACTTCAAGTCCTCATATTTCCTTTATTATCACTCACTTATCATTATTGCTAGTCAAAAGTTCTATGCTTGAATAAGAAGTGCAGTTATTACCTAAGCAATAACCACTTTTTTGTTTCTTTTCTGGGAAATTTAGGCGATGAACATTTTGACTTCAGTATTGCTTCTATATGCAAAAGAAGAAGAAGCTTTTTGGCTTCTGGTTGCTGTATGTGAACGAATGCTGCCTGACTATTTTAATCGCCGAATCATTGGTAAAAAAGAAATACAAAAAGAATACTTACATATAAGCACGCATACATATATCTACACATGAGCACTGGCTTCATCTATTTCTGCTGCATCGCCAAATGGCACAGACAGTAATTTATATTGTTTTAATTAGTGATAAGAGGCAGGGAAGTCCAAGAGCATGGTGCCAACATCTGCTCAGCATGTTGGCAGGGTCTTACTACATCATAATAATGTGGCATAGGATATCATATGGCCAGACAGCAAGCACAGTAGAATTAGTTTTCTTTATATAATAAATCTGCTTCCATGAAAATTTACCTTAATCCATGAATTAACTAATCTATTCATTAAGGCAGAGACCTTGTGAACCAATCACTTCCGGAAGGTCTTAACTCTAAATATTATTAATACATGAATTGAAGAATACTTTAGTTTCTAACCTAAGAAATTTTTTCAACATCAGAAGACTTAGTCTTTTCTAAACTATGTTAATGTCTATTGTCTATTTCGTAGGAGAGTGATTTTGTTTGTGAATCTGGGGGACTTTTGCTTGTTGAGACAAGGTCCAGCTGTATAGCTCAGGGTGCATAGCCTCGGCCTCCCAATTGCTGAGATGACCCAGACTTCTTACCTATTAAATTGCCAGTCAAACTGAAGAGTTGGTAAAATAGATTGAAAAAGACATAAAACGTAAGCCATGTCAAAATGTCACATTGACTGATACTCTAGGGCAAAGATCTTTGAATATTGGATGTGTACTTGGAAAAATGTTTGTTACTTTTTCAAAATTAAGGACCTGGCTTGCTTTTTAATGAAAATGAAATTTTAATTTGTGTTTATAAACACTAGATTGCCAAAATAATAATGATTTGAGACATCGAGAACTACTAAGGAAATTTTAATAGTTTCTTGATGGGAGGGAGATTTTAATCAACTTAAAGTTTCTATATTTGGATGGGTTCACATAGAAAATGAATCAAATTTTTCTTTGTTAATTATGTGGCATTGTCTTTAGTTATCATATATATAAGCATCTGTGATCCCATTTTAATACCTATAGGTAATCTACCCTTTGTACCTTCTTAAGTTTTCAGTGCTGTGACTAGGTCTTGATTATGTTGACTTTTGTCGTAAGTTCTATGTACGTTTATTTTTACTTCTATCAAGATTGAATTCTTTTTGCACTAAGGCTATATAGCTGAGTGATAGCATGTTTGTCTGGTATGCACAGGCCCTGAGTTCCATCCTACCACCACAAAAGATAATAAATTCTTTGAAGATGATCTCACCTCATTAGTAGTATCTAGTGCATGTCTCTGACTGTAAGAAGGACTCAGGAACTCCTCAAATGAATTAAAATGGAATTTCTCAAGTGTTCTTAGGTTCATGACACTCAACTCGCAGCTGCAGACATGTGCAAATTCTAGGAAGGCAATAAAGGGCTCCTGTTTGAAGGAATTGAGCTGAGCTGTACCAGGAAGCGGATGAAAATGGAGCAGAGGCATAAAGAAAGCTTTTCAGGAGGTGGTCGTTTTTTTAACTTGCTTTAATGTTTTCCAGGTGCCTTGGTGGATCAGGCAGTGTTTGAAGAACTTATTAGGGATCACCTTCCTCAGCTGACGGAACACATGACCGATATGACCTTCTTTTCCTCGGTTTCTCTCTCGTGGTTCCTCACACTCTTCATTAGTGTGCTGCCTATTGAAAGCGCAGTGAATGTGGTGGACTGTTTCTTCTATGACGGGATAAAGGCCATTTTACAGCTGGGATTGGCAATACTTGACTATAATTTAGACAAACTTCTGACGTGTAAAGATGATGCGGAAGCTGTGACAGCACTAAACAGGTATTGTAAGAACTCTAGCATTTAAATCTGGAGGTAGGCCGGGGGGAGATGGGTTAGCAATTGAGAATGTTTGCTGCTATCTCAAATGAGTTCGGTTCCCAGCACCCATGTCAGGCTGCTATCCAACTCAAGGGTTCAATAGCCTCTTCTTGCCTCCATGGGCATTCCAACATGTATGTTATATGGACAGACATACACATAAGTAAAAATTTTAAATCCACTGGAGATAGGAGTGATTACATTGTTCAGTCTGCTTAACTTACCAGTGAGGAAACTGAGTCCTAGAAACTTCAAGCAATTGGCTTTAAGTCATAGAACTGGTTGAAAGAAAGGGCTAGGCCCAAAGTCCTGCCCTTTGTCTTTAAATAGAGTACAGCAAAAGTATATCACTCTGATGAGAACAGTTAGGTTCCTTTCATATTTGTGCTAACATCATTAATTCAGTAAATCCTAACATTAGCAATTCTACTTTAAACTAGAATGTCTATATAGAAAGTAATGTGAGGGGCAAAGAGCTAGTTAGTAACCAAGTATCCAGTAGGGGAAATTATCCTGCTTTCCAGGTGATATCAGTAAGGTAGGTTGAATTTTATTTTCCTGGTATATTTTGTATGAATGCTACTTTGTATTGGGGCACATGGGGCTTTGAGTACTAGATGTATTACACATACATGTGTGTGAGTTAAGTGAATGAAAATGAATTGGCAACTGTTGTAATGCTTCATCAAACCCCATTCTGTACAGAATAATATATACATCTCCCTTTGGCCTCTGGAACTCTAAAGATAAGGCCTCAGTTTTCCTTTTGAAAACTGGTTTCCCCTTTCAAGCCTCTATAGAGCTGATATTCAGTCCATTCTGGATGGGTTTGGACTATTTGCAAAGTGTGCTCTGAACCTGTTCACTTCCCGCATGTTCTTTTTCACTGCCATGCATCTAATCCTTCTATCCACTTTCGGAATTCCCAACCATCTTTTGATTCTTCTTCATACTCCTTCCCTCGTGTTCTCATTTAAAATTGACCTCTGACTGACTTAGGAACCATTAGCTGTGCTGTTCTCTGCTACAACTATTTTAGTTGCACTAATTCTTATGTTATTGTCATTTTGGATAGGTTCTTTGACAATGTCATTAATAAGGACAGCCCATTGCCTTCAAATGTTCAGCAGGGTTCAAATATCAATAATGAAAAAAGCAGTCACACTAAAGTGGATATTACAGATTTGATTAGAGAATCCAATGAGGTAAGTTTTATGTACCATAAATATGATTACTTAGCATATTTAAATATTATAAATAATTGCATGGCATTCTTGTATATTAAGAACAGCAATGCGAACAAAGTAACAACTTAAAATCTAACTTTACTATAATATTGAGTTCTGTGAATTGACCTTAGGTTGTGTAATTTCCTCTGCCTCAACTTGTTTTTCATTAAATGATATTAAATTCACTTGCTTTCACAAATGATGACCACGTCTAAATATGTCTCACTCTAGAAAAAGTTAAAAAATGATTTTCCTTCACAAACTAAGACTTTGACCAGTGTTCTTACTCAAGACACACTGTAGATAGATACAATTTTCTCTAGTGAACATATTTAAAACACTGAGATGGAAATGTGCAAAGTCACTGATAGAAATAGAATCAAGGCCTCAGAGAATTGAGTCTGATGAAATTCAATTGTAAGAGAAGTGGATATTTATTATGAATGAGTAGCCACTGCAATCCTTTCTTGCAGAAATATGGTAGTATCCGCTATGAAGATATACACAGCATGCACTGTCGAAATCGGTTGTATGTGATCCAGACCCTGGAGGAAACAACAAAGCAGAATGTGGTGAGTATCACCTGGGGCAGGGGGTGGGGGACCCTCAAGGAACTTTGCTCTCTCTTCTTAAAAGATAACTTTCCATGTGAATAAAATGAAAGACGGTAACTTACAGAGCTAGGTTCGGGCCTTGTAAGTTTTTAGAGGAGAAATAGTTGTTTGCTTCTGGCTGAATGCTTGTGTTTATTTCAGTGTGATTCTGTTATTTGACCTTCAACTGTACTGTGGAGCAGTACTGAATTAGCATTTGAGCAACAAACATCTGTGGTTCAGTTAAGAATAGCTTGGGCTGGAGAGATGGCGCATTGATTAAGAACTTGTACTGCTCTTCACAAGGACCCAAGCTTCCTAGCACATGTACCCAGCAGCTCACAACCTTCTAGAACTCCAGCTACAGTGAATCCAGCACCCTCTTCTGGCTTCCATGGGCATTACACTCAAATGCACTCAAACCATATACACATAATTAAAAATTAAAATTAGAAGATAGCTCTCATAATAGCAAATGCTTCTAATAAATATTATTTCTCTGTAATACTTAAAAGAAAATTAAAAGTGTATAAAACAGAATTCACTCTTAAAGCATTGCTATGATTCCATAGGTAGCTGCTAATATTGGTTTCCTCTGGTCAGTGAGATGACTAGATCACTGATCCCAAGGTGAAGAATTTTACTTTGCTGTTTATAATCTTCTACACTGTTTAATTTTTATCATTACGATTTATTGTTTTATAAACCTCCTCACTTAAAAACTGGGTCCTCTGCTGGCCAGTGGTGACACACACCTTTAATTCCAGCACTGGGGAGGCAGAGGCAAGTGGATCTCTGTGAGTTCCAAGGCAGCCTGATCTACAGAGTGAGTTCCAGGACAGCCAGAGCTGTTACACAGGGAAACCCTGTCTCGAAAAACGAAACAAAACAAAACAAAACAAAACTGCCGGGCGGTGGTGGCGCACGCCTTTAATCCCAGCACTCGGGAGGCAGAGGCAGGGGGGATCTCTGTGAGTTCGAGGCCGGCCTGGTCTACAAGAGCTTGTTCCAGGACAGGAACCAAAATCTACGGAGAAACCCTGTCTCAAAAATTAAAAAAAAAAAAAAAACAAAACCTGAGTCTTCAAAGATGCAATCTAGGAAAATTAACATTTCTGACGATCCTAGTTTAGATTTCAATTAAATAATTCAGCAATGTTACTGTGACATGGGACAGAGAACCTTTGTTTTTGCTTCAAAATATTAACTTAAAATATTGGTTACATACATTTATTACAGACAATTCAAGCATTACAGAAATATCTCAAAAATGAAGTTTTCTTACCCCAAGTAACTATGGTAAAATGTTTCAAGTGCATCCTTACATTTCTTTTTACTGTGTAAGATCATAAAACATATTCAGGCTGGTGGAGAAAGAGAAGATAGATTTTGAAAATGAGATCACACATTATACCAGTCATTCAAATATATAATGATCATTGCATATCAGTATAATTAGATCTAACTCACTCTTTTAGTGCACAAAGTATATACCATGATATAATTAATTCTTTGAGAATTTCATACAATGTATTTTAATCATGTTCATTCCCCTTCACCAACTCCTCTGAAATTCTTCCCACCTCCCGATCCACTTATCTTCATGTGCTGTGTCTCTTTTAAACCCACTGAGTCCAGTTTTTCTGGCTGAGTAATCCTTGGAATGGGGCTTGCCCTGGAATACAGTCAACATACTAGAAAACTGTCATTGCCCCTCCCAGTACTCATCAAATGCTAGCTCCTCAGCTAGGAATAAGTCTTTGTGTCTACCTCCTAGGATTGTGTCTGGTTTGACTTTTATGGGTCCTGCGCATACTATCATAATCACTGTGAGTTCCTGTGTACACCTTCTATGTTGCATCTGAAAAACAGTTTCCATGACCTTTGTATCTTACAATGCTTCTGTCTCCTCCTCTGCATTGATCTCCAAGCCTTGTGAAGTAGGGTGTGTTGAAATACGGAGCGGTGGGCTGTGTCCCGCCACCCGGCTAGCTTTACCCGAAATAATTACACGGAAACTGTATTCTTTTAAACACTGCCTGACCCATTAGTTTCAGTTTCTTATTGGCTAGCTTTTACATATTGATCTAACCCATTTCTATTAATCTGTGTAGCCCACGAGCTGGCTTACCAGAAATGATCTTAACCTGCGTCTGTCTGGAGTGGGAGAATCATGGCGACTCCCTGACTCAGTTTCTTTCTCCCAGCATTCCGTTCTGTTTACTCCGCCTACCTAGGTTGGCCTATCAAATGGGTCTAGGCAGTTTCTTTATTAATAAGAAATCACTCCCACATCAAGGGTGTGATATAAACATCCCACTTAAGCTTAACACTCCAAAGTCTCTACCTATTGACCACATGTAGGTTTCTATATTAATAACTGCCCACTGCAAGAAGCAGCTTTCTTGAGTGCACTGATACATGGGTAGTTGAATATTGAATATTTTCTTTCATATGTTTGATTGCTTTTTCTTGGTTTTCTTTAAGCGATTTGTTGATGTCTTCTATTTTTTGTTTGTCTTTTTTCCCATTTCTTTGAGGGAATTTCTCATATTCTCTTTAAGGACCTCAATCATTCTCCTGAAGTTACTTTTTAGGTCATTTTCTTCTGCTACATCTATATTTGTTGTTCAAGTCTTGCTGCTATAGAGTCACTAGATTTTACTGGTGTCGTGTTGCTCTTTGTGGTATTGCGTATGTTCTTACCTCATCTTTTCCTCTAATTGGTGTAATTGGGGCTGCCTGTGACTCTGGTGATCAGTCTTCCAGATACCAGTAGCTGCCTGTGACTCTGGTGATCAGTCTTCCAGATGCCAGTAGCTGCCTGTGACTCTGGTGATCAGTCTTCCAGATGCCAGTAGCTGCCTGTGACTCTGGTGATCAGTCTTCCAGATGCCAGTAGCTCCAAGGCTCAGATGGATGCTCATCGTACTGTAGTCAGTGCCATGGTTCCAGTCACCCTGTTGGTCACTCCATGTTCCTGGAGGTTGCCCAGCACTCCTGGGGTTTGCTCTATGACATTGAAGTTTGCTGTCTCAGTCACACTGTGGCCTAGGTTGCCAGCTCAGTCCTGGTCCTGTGGAGCTCGCCTCTTCAGGCATGCTCCAGCCTAGGTCGCTGGCCCAGTCCTGTACCCACAAATATCCCTGGTATAGATCTGCTCCTGTTCCCATGGAGTTCACTGTCCCAGGCCCACTCCAGCCCAAGTTGCTGGCTCAGTCCTGCTCCTCTGGAGTTTGTTACCTCAGGTCTGCTCTGGCCTAGATGCTGGCTCAGTCCTGCTTCTGTGAAGTTTGCTGCCTCAGGCAAGATCTGGCCCAGGTCACTGGCTCAGTACTGCTCCTGTAGAGTTTACCCTCCCAGGTAGTAGCATTTCTTTGACAATTATATTTGTAACCTATCATTTCTTCCTCGTTATTGTTCATGTTTTATGATGTCTGTCAGAGTCTTCAAATTACAGATTTTACATAGTCAAGTCTTTCCTTTTTCTTTCATAATGACTGGTTTTCATTTAAAACTTAAGCCTTTCTCTAGCTAAAATTATACAAATTATAAAAGTACCTAGTTTTTATAAGCTCACAGTACTGATGATAGTTTTCATTTTAACATTTAGCATACAGGTTAATATACCTGGAAGATTTTGTTATATATGATATCAATATTTTCCAACTAAAAACTTTCATTGAAAACTATTGCATGGTCTGTTCTTATTGTATTGTACTTTTCATACCCTGAATTTTCATGTGCATATGTGGGAGCAGTTCTTTATTTTACTTTTTGTTATTACAACTATGTCTATTTGAATTAGTGTAACTTTATAGTACATTATGAAATCTGGTGAGACTTTAAATTTTTCTTTTTAATATCCATTATAGTTATCTGACTTTTTAGATGTCCTTTAGCAAGCATTTATGATTTTGATCCTGTACATTGTCCTAGTTAGGATTTCTATTGTTGTGATGGAACACCATGACCAAAAGGTACTTGAGGAGGAAAGGGTTTATTTCTTACATTTCATGTTACAGTTCATTATCAATGGAAGTCAAGGCACTGGCTTGGTCATCATAGTTTTCTCAGCCTGCTTCCTTCCAGAACCCAGGACCACCAGCTCCAGGGTATTCCCACCTACAATAGGCTGGGCCCTCCCCCAGCAATCACTAAATAAGAAAATGCCTTAGAGGCTTGCCTCCCTACAGCCTGATCTTATGGAGAAATTTTCTCCAATTGGGGTTCCCTCCTAGCAGATGACTTTAGATTGTGTCAGGCTGACAAAAAGCTAACCATCACATAGGTCTTAAATATTTCTTATTGATTTTTTTCATAATGCATTTTGTGGCAAAAATGACTGAGATGTTTTTCTTTACATTTTTTCAGTTATTTATTGGTATAAGTGCAAATCTCTTGATTTGATTTTCTTGCATTTTGTTGTGGCCACAACACTGGTTGACTGATTGTTCCACCTTATACTAGCACTTTTGGTGTCCTAAATAAAGAGTGCTTAATTTTCAGTGCTAAGAATTTTGGCCCTTCCTAATAAGTAATCTTCTTTTCTTTTGTGTGTTTATTACTTCATGATCTTGAAACCTTGAAGTAATATTGAATAATAGCAATAGGAGTAGGCCTTTTAGTCATACTCCTAAATTTAATAGAGATGCCTCCCATATTTTATTACTATTGATTTCAGAAGGATGTCCTTTATTAAACTAAAGAAATTTTATTAAGTTTCTAGGTTGAAAGGATGAAGATATAGCTCAGTAGTAGAGTGCACACACAGAGTTCTAACTGAAATGGGAACAATTCTTTTTAAAAATTAATACTGAGTTAATTTTTAAAATTATCAAAAGTTAACTTTGATACAATGACTTTCATATCTTCAGATTGTGTGGCTTTTTATTTACTAATATAGTAAATTTTATTAAAGAATTATTGGAATTCCAGAAACAGAAGAAGCATTGCCAAATTCTTTCTATGAGGCCACAGACACCCTGATACCCAAACTACACAAAAACCCAACAAAGAAAGAGAATTACAGATCAATTGCACTCGTGAACATAGATGCAAAAATACTCAATAAAATACTGATAAACTGAATCCACGAATACATCCAAAATACCATCCACCATGACCAAGTAGGCTTCATCCCAGAGATGCAGGGATGGTTCAACATATGAAAATCTGTCAACCCATAATATAAACAAACTAAAAGAAAAAATACCACATGGTCATCTCATTAGATGCTTTAAAAGCCTTTGACAAAATCCAACACTCTTTCATTAAAAAAGTCTTGGTGAGCTCATAGATACAAGGAGCATATCTAAACATAATAAAAACAATATATAGCAAGCTGACAGCCAAGATAAAATTAAACAGAGATAAACTCAGAGCAATTCTACTAAAATCATGTATAAGACAGGGCATTGTAAAATGAATCTGGCTATAATATCATTAATGTTCTATTTTGATAATTTGACTAAACAGTTTAGCAAGGTTCTCTGTGTCTGTGTTAAAATAACATTGATTTCAGAATTTCTTTTGCTTTTTTAGAGACATGGTCTCAGTATGGAGCCATAGTTGGCCCTGAAGCTGGCTATGTAGGCCGGACTTCCCTAAAACTGTTCTTGTCTCCCAAGTATTGGGATCAAAGGTGTGTACCACCATGACCATTAAGGATTTATTTTTTGTGAATGCTAATTTTATGCCAATTTAGCTTATGTTGCATAATAGATTTTGTAGTAAACTCATATTTTCTATGCTCTGAAATACTTTAATGTACGTAGGATATCACTGTTATTAGAAAGTTTGAGAAAACAAGCCTCTAAACCTTTGGGTCTGCTAACTTTTGATGATGGGAGCTTTTCGTTGCCATTTCTGTTCTGTTTATTCAAGTTGTTTGCACATTGAGTTAATTTTGGTGACATATTTCCCAAGGAAATTATATATTTTAATCTCAATCTTCAGATATATTTGCATAACACTTCAGAATTCATTTAGTTGATTTTATATGCTGCATTCTGTATGATGAACACCTTGATGACTTTCATATCCATCTTTCCATGTTATCCTTCTTAAGTTTGTATTACATTTATTTACTGGAGGGGTGTACTCATGTGCCATAGCATCCATGTGGAAGCCAGAGTACAAATTATGACATTTGTTCTCTCCATCTACATGGGTCCGTGGGATTGAACTCAGGTCATCAGTCTTGGTAGCAAGTACCTTTATCCACTGAACCATTTTGTCAGCCCATATTTATACTTTGCTTCTCATTGATATTTATTCGTGATATCTTTTTATCACACCAAGATCTATTTTACTTTTTCAATTAATTGACAAAGTAGTAATATAGTACTATATTAATATTAGTACACTAATGTTGAAATAGGAGCGGCAGGGCTGCATCCCTGGCACCCGGCCGCCTACATGGCTAACTCTAGCTTATGCCCCGAAATAATTACACGGAAACTGTATTCTTTTAAACACCACTTGGCCCATTATATCTAGCCTTTTCTCGGCTAACTCTCGCACCTGGACTAGCCCATTTCTCATAATCTATGTAGCCCACGAGCTGGCTTACCAGGAATGATCTTAACCTGCGTCTGCCTGGAGTGGGAGAATCATGGCGACTCCTTGACTCAGCTTCTTTCTCCCAGCATTCTGTTCTGTTTTCTCCGCCCACCTAAGGGTTGGCCTAACAAATGGGTCTAGGCAGTTTCTTTATTAATAAGAAATCACTACCACATCACACTAAAGTTAAGTAGTAGTTATATCAGAAACACAAGGTTAGTTCAGCAACTAACTAAAAATCAAGAAATAACTTGGCAATTGTTACTAGAGCTGCAATAAAAAAAAAATGATGTGGGGAGAACATGAGCAAAGAATTCGGGACCACGAGGCGTGCATCCACCCACTGAGACAGTGGAGCTGATCTACGGGGAGCTCACCAAGGCCAGCTGGACTGTGACCGAAAAAGCATGGGATAAAACCGGACTCTCTGAACATGGCGAACAATGAGGGCTGATGAGACACCAAGGACAATGGCAGGGGGTTTTGATCCTACTTAATGTGCTGGCTTTGTGGGAGCCTAGCCAGTTTGGATGTTCACCTTCCTAGATATGGACGGAGGGAGAGGACCTAGGACTTACCACAGGGCAGGGAACCCGGACTGCTCTGTGCACTGGAGAGGGAGGGGGGGGAGAGGAGTGGGGGGAGGGGGAGAAGGGTGGGAGGAGGGGGAGAAGGGTGGGAGGAGGGGGAGAAGGGTGGGAGGAGGGGAAGGGAAATGGGAGGCTGGGAGGAGGTGGAAACTTGTTTTTTGTTTATGTTTTTTTTCTTCTTTTCGCAATAAAAAAAATGATGTGTAGGTTTAAAAAAAGAAAAGAAAATATTTTCTCCTTGTAGAGGAAAACACCAAGTGAATTCAAAGACTTTTTAAAAGGAAATGCTGAGTCTAAGTTGCTTTTGATCTTTTTAAAGTTGCATGTTGTATCACAAGATGTGAAGATGAATCTTCAGGAATTGGATGAACTTTATGTCATTTTTAAGGTATGTTGTTCCTTTTTAACGAAAATTAATCTTTTAGCGGAATTTTATCTCCATTGCTCTTAAACATTTTTATGTTTTAAGAGACATATTTAGAAAAATTCTTTGACTTTTTTCTGATTTAATGACTCTCCTTTTCCATTTTTTTTTGTAGAAAGAGCTGTTTATATCTTGTTATTGGTATTCGAGTTGTCCAGGATTGAAGCATCATGACCCCAGCCTGTCATATTTGGAACAGTATCAGATTGACTGCCAGCAGTTCAGAGTGCTGTATCACTTGTTGAGTCCCTGGGCTCATTCTGCAAACAGAGACTCACTAGCTTTATGGACATTCAGATTGTTGGATGAAAATTCTGATTGCCTTATAAACTTCAAAGAATTCTCCTCTGCAATTGGTAGGCTGATGCCCTTCTACTTTCTAAAGCAAAACATAACTATGTTCTCTATGCCCCCAAAATATTCCCTACTACCCCAAAATATTTTATCTTGCTGCCTATTACTGCTAGTTTAGGTCAATTTTGGATTACATTGTCTTCAGGTTTAGTAATTATGAGCCTTTTTTAAATGTGCTTGCTGCTAAACCTATGCATCTTGATCTCTTTTAATAATTTATTTTTACTTTATGTGCATCGATATTTTGCCTACATTTATGTCTGTATGAGGGTGTTGAATCACCTGGACCTAGAGTTACAGATGGTTGTGAGCTGGCACATGGATGCTGGGAATTGAACTCAGGACCTCTGGAAGAACATCTAGTGTTCTTAACCACTGAGCTATCTCTCCAGGCCCATATATTGATTTCTTTTTTGCCCAGCCCTCTCAATGAAACAAGCTGTTTGATGTGGGTGTTTTAATGGTTTAACATGAAGAAAGAGAATGTCTAGGATTTTTCCACACCAGATAGATAGATACAACAGAAGGATTTTCCCCCTGGGTAAAAATCTAACCACATAGCCTAGATAAGTGATACAGAAATACTAAACAAATGAGTTGTGCCTATAGTCGATAAGTCATAGGTTTTGTTCCTTTGTTTTTCATACCCCCCCCCCAGCAATGATTTCTTTTCACTCATTATCTTGCAGAGCAGTTCTCTCCTCAAATGAATCATAAAGCCCCATTCCAAAAGAAAAGGGAAATATGAGGTTGGGAGAAAGGCGCTTGTGAATAGAGCATGCTATTCCCCTGGTGGAGTGTTTCGGTTATGTGCTTGAAAGTGAAAATCTTACTGACTGGGTAGTTAATTGTTAGCTTAAGAAACACTATGTTGCCTGGTGGTGGTGGTGCATGCCTCTAATCCCAGCACTAGGAAGGCAGGGGCAGTTCAAGGCCAGCCTGGTCTACAGAGAGAGTTCCAGAATGGCCAGGGCTGTTACACAGAGAAACCTTATTTTGAAAAACTAATGAGAGAGAGAGAGACAGGGCTGGGGGTGGGGGAACAGACTGACTGGCTGACTGTGTTTTAGATCCTAATTCCTGTCTACTGTCTGTATCTTAATCTCTTTGGGTGGAAATGGTTGAATGTTTAGTTAATGTTTAGTTACCTGAGTTTTCTAACTGAATTTTATTGAACAGATATAATGTACAATGGAAGTTTTACTGAGAAGCTTAAGCTGCTTTTTAAGATGCATATTCCTCCAGGTAAGACTTTACCAGTCTTTAATGGTATATAGTAAGAGTTCATTCCATTGTAACAGGCATCATTGTACATATAATTTCACTTTAACAAATAAAACAGTTTTCCATATAATTTAAAGTTATTGCTTTATTGTGGTCCTCAAGTAATATCACAAGTATTTTTGGTGGTGTAGGTATAGATATAGACAGGATGAAATCTGTAGAAGAGATTCCATATATCAGTTGGATCTTTACTTTCCTATTAGTAGGCAATCATCTCTGTCTGTCTCTCTCTCTCTCTCTCTCTCTCTCTCTCTGTCTCTCTCTCTCTCTGTGTGTGTGTGTGTGTATGTATGCAGTTTAAGATATAGTCTCAATATATATCCCAGACTGAGCTCAGTCTCAGAAGTGCAAGGATAACAGGCATGTGCTACCATGTCCTGCTAGCTAGCTCTTAAATGATAGCTTGTATAAGAACTTATGTATCGTTGGAAATTTGGGATACTGTTGAATTTGTGCTGTTGCAGATGGGTCTAAATTAGCATGTGCACAACCTTTATTTTATATCCAGTGTCACCCTTAGACCCTCACACAGGCTCATGGTTGAACGCATGCATAAACACACACATAAAATATATTTTATATGCACTCTCTTATTTTAGCATCATAATCTTTGAAAGATTATATTATCCTTCCAATTTTTACAAAAGGAGAATGAGGGTTGGGGAGATTCAATTATGTCCCAAATATACTTGATATGAGGCCCATCCAACTCCAAAAGTTTTTTTTTTCTGTTTTGCTCTACTTCTCCAAAGTCACCATGCCCTTTCAGTTTTCATAAATTTTTTCCACTGTCCTTAGGATTATTTCCCAACACATCCCTACTGTTAAAAAATATATTGCGAAAAGTGGCTTGGATTTAGTAATTCATTAAAATCAAATAGCACTTCATAATTTGTCTAATGTTCTCCCTGGCTTCCTTTAAAAGCTTTTTAAAGGCTTTTCAGGTTAGCAAGGAATCATTTAGCAGACCAACAAACTAAAGCCATGTTTAATCCTTCAGACGCCCAAATCACTAACACAGCATTAAAAACAAAAGTCAAACCACATAATAATTTAATTATAAGAATAAATTTTATTAGATTATGTTACCATTTAAATGTTTAAATTTTCCATGTAATACGTTATTGATGGAGAGGTTGAAAGTAGGAATATTAAGTAGGATAAAATATAAGCTAGGAAACACTGTGTCTCCGTTGACTAACAGTGGGGAACAGTAAAGCTCTGAGCTTCAGGTTTCCTTATTAGTGCAGGAGTTTTAGATTTCATGTTCAGAGCTAATCTAACTACCAGATTCGTCTTTCCATGACTCTCTAAAAACTGGTAAAAAGCAAGGAGGTTACCCGTGCTCCCGTAGATGACCTCGGAAGCAAAAGGACTCAGTGCGTTTACAAAAGAGTCCACGGAATTAGAAGGGATTAATGGTGGTGGAAGAGGGAAGAAAGAAATGGGGCGATGGATTTGATCATATACATATATGAAGTTCTTAAGCAATAAAAAGAAATGCAAGGAAGAAAAATTTTAGAATTCAAAGTGATGAAATGTTTATTTGGTACACAACAACAGAGCAATAGTATTTCCACTTTTCTGTATGTACACATTTCTTATATACTTCATCTAATTTCTACTCTTCAATTTGTCTGCATTTAAGAACCACTTCTCTGCCTTCACTGCTAGTAAATGTGATTTGGCTTATATGCTTTCAGCTTATACTGAAGTGATGTCTAAGACTTCTTCCAAGGGCGATGAGCTTTCCACCGAAGAATTGCTTTATTTCAGTCAGCTCCAGGGTAAATAAATATTCCTTTAAACTTTGAACTGAATTTGTGTTGTTTTAAATTGGGTCTCAGACTGATCTCAAACTCTTGGGCTCCAGTAATCATCCTGCCTCAGTCTCCCAGGTAGATAGGTAGACAGGACCATGGGCATCTTGATGACTAGCTACTTGTGGAGATCTTATTGAATTGGAGTCACTGTACCTTTTACATTGTGATACTACGATAGCAGTTAGCATAGTCTGTAAATATTTGACTGATTAGACTGTGCTTAATAATTTTTATTTTTTGAAATTTCTTATTATTTAAAAGGAAGTATATATAAAAGATTTTTGCTTTTAATTGTATTAAAGAAATTTTGTATCAGGCCATTTCTATGCTTTGATAAAGGATGGTGAAGCTGATAGAATCATTGATGATTTACAATCCATAACTTTTATTTAAATAGTGAATACTTCTTATAAATCAAGTGTACAATAGAAGAATCTGCTTTCTCACATAAATTGGAAGTGATACACACTTGTGTGTGTGCTTTTCGCATTTGTTTCATTTTCATAGGTACATGGTCTTACAGAGAACATGTGTGTGTCTATTTGGTTACTGTATGTAAAGTGAGCATTAACAAAACCTCAAAACCCATCTATTTAAGTCTGCCCACTTTATATAGAAGAACATTGAGTACAGAAAGCAGTGAATTGTGCAGGGTTTCACAATGAGTTCTTGTCTTACCCAGGGCATATGGCTTCTTCTTCAGACCTCCATTATGCATAGGGCTTTCCTCCTGGTAATAAACATAATGCTTCTTAATTTGAAGGCAGTCAAATAGAGAAGCTATCACTCAGAAGCAAATACTTAAGTTTGATGTATTACCATCTAGGATTTTTTAAATATTAATATACAGTGTTCTTTTCTTTTACTATGAATATTTTTGATACTTTGCATTCTAAGATCAGGAGATCAGGTCACATAAAATTGCTTTGGTGGGTCAAAAGCATAGTAAGTGCTTATAAGTCTTTATACAAACTATTCTTTTATTATTTTACTTTTAAAAGATACTTAAACATTTTATAATATACAGTTGCCCTCTTTTCCCTTTATTTTCCAAGCATGCAGATGAGAAGGAAGCAGAATCAGGAAAAAATACACCTGAAAAAGGTACCATGAAACAATCTAGGAATATCATTCAATTTATTAAATTATTAATTCTATAAATAGTAATAGCTATAAAGGGGGAGGGGTTAGGTTTCTTTAAAGGCTGTAGATTTGTCCTGATATGGTTTTCTAGTTACATAAAAGAAATTTATTATTTCTCTTTTGTTACATCTCAGAGGTTATAAAAATTTAATAGTAAGTGATCCATATTCATTTTTTTATTATTTTAAAGATTTCATTTGAATTGCAAAAATAATAGATAATCTTTGTGGCAGAAATTCAGGCAGCATGTAGTCTTTCTTACCCCTAGACAAAGCAAGCCAGAAGGAGAGGCTGTAAACATTTTATGCTATATCCTTTTTATATTTGTTTCTTTGTATACGTGGACATATGGAGTCATCTCTCTTTAAAATATCTATAAACACTCTTCCACTAGGTGCTTTTTTTTCTTATGACTGCCTGGCCTTGGCTTGTTTCTAGCCATCTTTTCTTTTTCTTTTTAATTGTTTTTAATTGAGCTATACATTTTTTCCACTCCCCTCCATTCCTCCCCTCTCCCATTCTACCCTCTCCCGTGACTCCCACCACTCCCAGTTTACTCAGGAGATCTTGTCTTTTTCTATTTCCCATGTAGATTAGATCCCTGTATGTCTCTCTTAGGGTCCTCTTTGTTGTTTAGGTTCTCTGGGGTTGTAAATTATAGGCTGGTTTTCTTTGCTTTATGTTTAAAAGCCACTTATGAGTTAATACATATTTTATTTGTCTTTCTGGGTCTGGGTTACCTCACTCAATATGTTTTTGCCTACAAATTTCAAGATGTCATTATTTTTTTACCACTGTATAGTACTCCGGTGTGTAAATGTACCACATTTTCCTTATCCATTCTTCGTATGAGGGGCATCTAGGTTGTTTCCAGGTTCTGGCTATTACAAATAATGCTTCTGTGAACATAGTTGAACACATGTCCTTATGGTATGATTGGGAATCCTTTGGGTATATACCCAAAAGTGATATTGCTGGGTCTTGAGGTAAGTTGTTTTCCTAATTTCCAGAGAAATCACCACACTGATTTCCAAAGGGGTTGTACCAGTTTGCACTCCCACCAGCAATGGAGGAATGTTCCCCTTACTCCACATCCTCTCTACCATAAGCTGTCATCAGTGTTTTTGATCTTGGCCATTCTTACAGGTATAAGATGGAATCTCAGAGTTGTTTTGATTTGCATTTCTCTGATAGCTAAGGATGCTGAGCATTTCTTTAAGTGTCTTTCAGCTCTGTGAGATTCATCTGTTGTTTAGGTCTGTACCCATTTTTATTGGATTACTAGCTCTTTTAATGTCAAGTCTTTTGAGTATTTTGTATATTTTGAAGATCAGTCCTTTGTCCAATGTGGGGTTGATGAAGATCTTTTCCCATTCTGTAGGCTGTTGTTTTGTCTTGCTGCCTGTGTCCTTTGCTTTACAGAAGCTTTTCAGTTTCAAGAGGTCCCATTTATTAATTATTGCTCTCAGTGTCTGTCCTACTGTGGTTATATTTAGGAAGTGGTCTCTTGTACCAATGTGTTCAAGTGTACTTCCCACTTTCTCTTCTATGAGGTTCAGTGTGGTTGGTTTTATACTGAGGTCTTTGATCCATTTGGACTTGAGTTTTGTGCATGGCAATAGATATGAGTCTAGTTTTATTCTTCTACATGTTGATATCCAGTTATGCCAGCACCACTTGTTAAATATGCTTTCTTTTTTCCATTTTATGTTCTTAGCTTCTTTGTCAAAAATCAGGTGTTTGTAGGTGTGTGGATTGATATTCAGGTCTTCTATTCAATTCCATTGGTCCTCCTGTCTGTTTTTTATGCCAATACGAGGCTGTTTTCATTACTATAGCTCTATAGTAGAGTTTGAAGTCAGGGATGGTGGTGCCTCCAGAAGTTCCTGTATTGTACAGAATTGTTTTGGCCTGGGTTTTTGCTTTTCCATTTGAAGTTGAGTATTATTCTTTTGAGTTCTGTGAAGAATTTTGCTGGGATTTTGATGGGCATTGCATTGAATCTGTAGATTGCCATTTTTTTACTATGTGAATTCTACCTACCCAAGAACATAGAAGATCTTCCCATTTTCTGGTGTCTTCAATTTATTTCTTCAAAGATTTAAAGTCCTTGTCTTACAAGTCTTTCACTTCTTTAATTAGAGTTACTCCAAGATATTTTATGTTATTTGTGGCTATTTTGAAGGGTGATGTTTCTCTGATTTCTTTATCATCTGTGTGCAGGAGGGCTACTGGTATGAGTATGACTACATGACATTATTGTTGGACCAAAGTGTGCTGTTTTAATCTAAATACATCATTTTCCCTCTTTTTCTTTACTTTTGATATTCATCAAATTTCCAAAAGTAAGTTTTTGTCTAAATAGAAGTGGATAATGTTTTCTGAAAGCCAGTGAGTGAGATCAAAGCTAAATTCAGATTGTGTCCTGGACTGAAAGAGATGGGCTCTTTTACCTCAGAGATATTTTTTCACTTTCACTGATTCTTTTTGAGATTTGGGGAAATATTAGTTGTTCATTATAAAATTGTTTATTTCTTTTATTTAGGCAAAGGAAAAATCGATATTCAAGCCTATTTAAGTCAATGGCAAGATGAGCTTCTTAAAAAAGAAGAAAACATTAAAGATTTACCAAGAATGAATCAGGTATAGAATTTTCCAAGTAAATTTTTTTTTAATTAATGCGAGTGCATGTAGCCCCATGGTTCAGTCACCAATACCACAAAAGAAAAGGAAAAGAAAAAAAACTTACATACTATTGAAAAAAATAGTTAAATAATCTGCAGGTTGTCAACTTTAGAAAATTCAAGTAATCATGAAAGAGGTCAACAGATTTTTTTATATTGTACATTAATTGCTTAAATGTATTTAGTGTTTCTATAGAAAATTTTTATATGTGGCATATTTCAGCATTAAAAATATACATGTATTAAGTAACATTCAGTTAGTGCCTACCTGATGTCAAATCTATTGCTACGTACTAAGAAATTACTAAGATAGATCTTATGTAATCCCCAGTGACCTTATATTTGATGCTGCATAGGCGATATTAAGAACTAGGGTAGACATTATTTAAATTGATCTCTTTCTTATACATTGCCCACGTGTTCTTATAGTCTTAAAAGAAAGGCTGGTTGATTGAGATACCGAAGTTCCCCAGAACTTTACCAAAACAAAACTATCCAATAGCTTAGAGTGTCTTAATGAACTTTCCAGTTTGATGGTTAAATAAAGGCTTCCTAAAATAAGCCAATTTGGGTTACTTATTCGAAAATCATTATAAATGAAAAGGACTATAAAAAGGAAGGCGGAAAGCATTTTTATAATATATTTTTATGAAGCATATTATTTGTACTTGTTTTATGTACATACAAACATGTAAGGTTGAACAACTGAGTTGTAGAACTCTTGGATTTGAATAGCTTTTAAATTGACAAGTACTTTCCAGGAATATTTAGAATTTCCTGAGAGCAGTTTAGCAAACTAACTAGAGTCTCTTAACTTTGGTCCCGTATCTGCCTTTAAAAACACGTACATCCAAAGGGATTTCTTAAGAGTTCTTACACTACTAGGTAGGTCCCAGAAGTCATTCTTCCCTAATGTTAAGGCATCTAAGTTCAATGTCCATTGCAGCCCTTTAATATCAAATTAGAAGTCCTGAATCCTTTTCTTAAAATTGATTGATGAGAATTACATGAAAGAAAATATGAAAGTTTACATAATCAAAATTGTCACCCAACAGTAAATAAAGACAACTTCTTAATTTATAATATTCTTCATTTATAATATTCTTCAATTTGACAATTATGTGAGAGGGCTTAAATGAAATATTCTTTCATGGTTCATACCTCCCTTCCTAGAGCAAAGATGTATCATGGAATTAGTCCTCAGTTCTGTGGTGAAGGTTGTATATTACAAATTTTATACAGGATTCTCTCCACTTCTGAGTTCCCCTTCTAAGTTTCATTTTTATTTGCTAAGTCTAATGTTAAAATGTTATATTTCCAACTTGTGTCTTCTAGTCACAATTTATTCAGTTTTCAAAGACCCTGTATAATTTATTTCATGAAGACCCGGAAGAAGAGTCACTCTATCAAGCCATTGCTATTGTTACCAACCTTTTGCTCAGGATGGAAGAAGTTGGAAGGAAACTCCATAGCCCTAAATTAGCAGCTAGAAGATTCTCCGGGACAGCCTGTGATTCTGGGGTCCGTGAGGGGAATGCAGAGAGCAGTGTGGAGAAAACTCCTTCCTCTCCCAGGGAAGAGCATCAGTGGTCTTTTGCATTTGAACAGATTCTTGCTTCCCTGTTAAATGAACCAGCTTTGGTGAGGTTTTTTGAGAGACCCTTAGACTTAAAGGCAAAGCTGGAGCATGCAAAATGCTCCCAGTTAAAGTCTAGAACCAAGGTCTAAATCTCTGCCGCTGTTAGCTTTACCAAGATTCCTGTACGATCAGCTTGATTCCTGAGACTACTCAGGGATGTATGGCATTGCCTATGTGCTTGAAGGCAAAAAGAAAGGTACTCAGAAGCACAATGATTCATTCCTTTGTATTAATTGCAGTTAAAAAAATTCTATGTGTCCCAAGATATCCAGCATCAGGGTCACATGCTCAGTGGAACCACCAGAGGGCACCACCATATCACTTTAGGGAGTCAGTTTCAAGTTTGTGCTGCTGTTTCCATGGGATTAGCGGCTTTTCAAAAGGCAAAGTGTTTATTAGTGATGCTGTTATGGCATATTGGTGAACTTTGCTTTTCAAATTGCCCCAAGCCTGTCAAAACTGAGCTTTAGAACTGTAGCCTTAATTATCCAGGAAATTGCCCATTTAGGGCTTTGCTTTCTATGTTATGTTACTGGAACTTTATTAACTTTTAAAGCTTAATTTTGTTCAACACAGAAATATAAGTTCTTAAAAAGCAGCTTCTGCACTTTCTGTTCTTGAGGGTTCACAATTTGCTGGTTGACACTACTAACTATGCTACTGCTAAAGACAAATGAAGAAGTCAATTCTGGACTGATATAAGGAAAACATCACTGGGTTTAGGGTTACATAGAATAAAGCCACTGTTTTGAGAAAGGTTAAGAGACAGTTCAGTTGACTATATAGCTCTTTCGTTTACACTGAGACATAACTAAAACTTCTTTAGTGTACTGTCGTGTGCGGCCTCTTCTCAGAATGGCTTGTGATTGCTTGTGTCCCAGCTTTATATTTTGAATTTTCATCAGCTATGTTTTAATTTATAGGAGGTAGTGTGGAACAGTTACACTAATACTGAACTGCTTCATTAGTTTCACAAGCACATGAAGTATAGTTCACATAGACTTTTACTAAGGCACTATGTACAATTGCCAGCATCTACCTAAAAAGGTTCGACTCTCTGACTTAGATGAGCAATTTTTTACATACTTTAGGCTTCTTCTAGGTCAGACATTACATGACAGTCCATTTAAATATAAATGGACTTTGATAGCACTTTATAAAAACTAACAATCAAATCACATGGACCTGTCCTGTCTTCTGCCTTCTCTGACAAGAGTAATTTATTAAGCAGTTGACTTAGGGAATGGGGCAGGAATCAGCCTGAGGAGTTTCTGCTTTCATGCTAGGCTTTGATTTCAAGCCCTCTTACTTAACTAGAAACAAAGAGAGAGAGAGAGAGAGAGAGAGAGAGAGAGAGAGAGAGAGAGAGAGAGAAGAGAGGGCAGACCTTCATGGTGACCAAAGAAGTCTCCCTTTCTGGGAAGGAATTGGTGTGGTCAGGCTTTAGCAAGAATAGACTGTGAATAAAACAGAGGGCTATGCCATGTATCATATATTCTTTTCAATGAAGCAAAAACACTTTTCAAGTTGAGTCTTTGAGAATCTGTAAGTTGGAATCTACCAAATACTGGTAGCATCTTTAAGATTTGATTATACTGTCTTTTCAAGGAAATTGCCACTTAAAAGAGATAATTTAGAACTAAGCCTTTCTGCTTTGACTCAGAATTGATGTGCTAAAATATGTCCTGATTTTCAATCTTAGTTAATAGTTTATATGCGAACTGTCACATCTGCTCTTATGTAATGATTGTTAAATTATACGACAATAGCTCTAGAAAAACATATGGTCTGTGCTTATATACAAAAGCACTGTTACACTGTGTTGAATATTTCGTCAGTTGTATTTACAACAAATCCTTTCTTAAAAATATGCTGTTAATTTTTGATATTATTTTAAAGTCAGAATAGTGAAGATTACTGAATATTGTATTTTAGGCTAGACTAATTGAAAATAAATACTTAAAAAGATTTTTAGAGTTTCAAGAAGATTATAAATGAAGGTTAACAAGCCAATAATGTATTTTCTGGTTCTGCAGGGAAGATAAGCTAAACACATTATAGTTTTATAGCTGCTGCCTTGTTAAGCAAATGAGCTGTTCCTAATATTCAGAATATTTTGTTGTGTCAAACTGGACCAGTGCATTATGACTTTTACATTAAATGTTATAAAGTGACTTTGTCTTTATAAAACTAAGTATTAAAATCTATTATATTAAATATAAAATGTTTATTTAAAAAGTGAATGTCGTGTATTATCCATTTTATGTACACATGGTTAAAATACCATTTGAGGGTGTCCTTTCTACTGCAGTTTAGAATCTTGTTGCCAGAAAACCAGAATTTATTCTCAACTAGATTAGGCACAAAACTGTTTATTACTAGATATTAAGTGGCATGTATCTTTATTAGAAAGACCAACTTACTTGAACTTTCAAAAGCAAGATCCAAGAGCACACCACTCCCAGGCTACCAGGACAGCTGCTAATTCTTTTGTAATTAGGAAACTTTCAGAATGAAAATACATCACTACTCCTGCTCCCTCGAGAAGGATCCATCTGCAAATGGATGCCAAGCTCCTCGCCCCCTCAGCACCCAGGTACTCATGACCAAATGGCTGTAGGGCAGCCAAACATCTTCACAGTCATCTTCAGCAACAGAGATGTCAGAAGCACAGAGTCCAATTGCTTCTGCGAGCCAAGTCTCAGATGTCTAGAATCATAATTGTAAAGGAATGTGGGAATGGACTTTTAGCTTCTGGAGTACAGGAAACACTCCAATAGACTAGTATAGATGTTAAGAATTGTGTGAGTTTTTTCCCTTCTGTTGCTGCATAATAATTAGTACAATGAACATTTATTTTCTCACTGTTTTAGTATGATAGGATGGGGTTTCTGGGAGCTCAGCCTAGCTAGATCCTCTGGATAGGACTACAAGGCTGTGACCAAGGTATAATCAAGACTAGTCTTCGGGTAAAGGTTCGACTGGGTTAGAAAACACAGCCTCTTGTAGGTGGCCCCCTCTGCTCCTAAAGGCCTCCCATAATCCCTAGCATCTGTAGGTCTTGCCACATGGGCTTTTCCAACATGGCTGCTTCATTGTGCTAGAAAAGATAGCCTCGAGGGTGAGTCTGCCTGGAAGAGTATCTTATATGTGACATAACCCCGATAGCTGTACCCTGCCTTTGCCATGTGCTTTTGATTAAAACCAAGTAACCAGTTCTGCTTATGTTCAAAGCGAGAGGATTGCATAAAAGCATGAAAAGCAGCAGGCAGAGATAATGAGAGGTGCCCCTATCTGCTGCCGGAGCTGATCGGTGTCATTATCTATTATCTTCACAGTGCAGCACACTAAATAATCAGTAATAGCAGCAGCTGCTGCCCCTGCCCATCATCACATGAACCTTCCTCCTGTGAACAGGAGTACACTAATCTCTCCTAAAGGAAGATCCAAGTCTGTTGGTTACTTGAATTCATCTATGGCTGATGTTCATTCCTCTTTATTCATTCTCAACCCCATCTTAATATTCCTACCACGTGTAAACTAAATTATAGAATTACTTAGTGTCAGCTGATATAAAAAGCAGGAGAGACTATTGAAGGAAATTGATTATTGTGTATAAAGAGATGCCTAAAAGAGATGGAGAAAGTGGGTAGGGGTGGCGCCTGCAGTCCTCATTATACAGCTAGTCGGGGCTGTCATTGTGGTGGGGAGGCTTTGGTCTGATCACACCATAAACTTGCTCTGGTATATACATTGATGAATTTGAACACATGCGTATTTGTATCACATCAAAAATACAGAATACTTCCTTCACCCTAAAGACAAACTCCCTCATGTCATCCATGTATGTATTCTCTCACATCCTAGCCAGCAAATGATCAGTTCTTTATCAAGCTTATAAAACACCTGATGATTACTTCACCAGCATGTCTGTCCCTTAGGACCATGTAACTAAGGAATGGTTGCTTAGATACTTGTTACAAGAATGTCTGAATGTCAGCAAGCCGTAGGAAAGACAGAGAATACAGTTCGTCTGGTGATGGAGGTCTTGCTATAAAGCACTCTGATTCTGAAGTACGGGTTAAAGGGATTTTGAATGTCACACATTAACCCCCACCCATTTTCAAGAAGATCTTATTAGTATTTTAGTAGTTTTCATTTGTCTTTGTTTTGTTTTGTTTTATCAGCTATAATCTCTTTGGGGGGCTTGAGGTAGACATACAGGTGACATCGATGCCGGTCGCACGGAATCTCTAAAGGCAAGGCAAATTATTCTGGTAAGTACATTGCTAGGCATGTAATCAATCATCAGAGAAAGCATATTTTATTCTTAAGCTCACATTATGCTGCGGCTTCTATTTCTGTCAGTAGAACTACATTTTCCCAACCATCTCATCCATCAATAGACTTCCGAATTCCACTCATCTCCCTTTGCAGGCAGCATCTTTTCTTGTGGCTAATTTTAAGATCTTTTTTAATTTTGCGTGGATACGTGAGGTGGGTGTGTACACGTGAGTGTAGTTATCTTTGGAATCCAGAAGAAAGCACTGGGTTCCCTGAAGCTGGAGCCATGGGCCAGTTGTGTGCCATCTGATATGGTACTGGGAGACCAATTCCAGTCCCTTGCAAGAGCAACAAGTGCGCTTCCTTGCTGAACCATCTCTCTGATACATGCTTTTAAGAAATTTTCAGAGTAGAAGGAATGAGAATATGAGCAAAGAGGTCAAGACCATGAAGGGTTCATTCACTGAAACAGTTTGCCTGAGCTAATAGAAGCTCAACCAACTCCAACTGGACCGGGAAGGAACAAGCATAGGGCCAAACTAGTTCCTCTGAATGTGGCTGACCATTGTATGGCTGGGGCAGAGTGAGGGGCCATTGGCAGTGGCACTGGGATTTATCTCTACTACATGTACTAGCTTTTTGGGATCCTGTTCTCTTTGGATGTATACCTTGTTCAGCCTAGATGTAGTAGGGAGGGCCTTGGACCTTCCGCAAAGCAAAGTACCTTACCCTCTCTTAGGATTAGAGAGGGTGGGGTGGGAGGGTGTGTGGAGGGAATGGGAGGAAGGGAGGGAGGGAGAATTTGGATTGATATTT